TGTATTGCATACCATGCAAGTTCAGATTCAGATTAGCCTTGAAATTTGGGGATACAACGTTTGTGTGTGTTATGTATGGCACAACTGAAGATTTAAAAAAGAAAACTTTTTGTCCTTCTATTGGATGAAAATACTTTTTTTTAACTAAATAAGAATTTTTACATACCAGTTAAATTCAAAGCCATTTACTTGGTCCTCTGGTGAATATAGAAATGAGTTCTGCATGGGTTGTGCTTTTAAGTTGCTCCCATCGAACAGGTGAGATAGAGCCACCAAAACAAAGAACCCTAATTCAAAATACAAAATAAGTAAATAAGTGTCTTAAGAGCAGACAAAGGAATTAGGAACCTCTTAGGCTTCCTAATAGATAAGAAATTTGGGCTCTGTCTTGGTGGATCATGCAAACCTGGGTACGTGGGAATAAGGTAAATGATATCTGGGAAAGAGATAATTCACTGTAAGACGTGTGCATGGAACAGCAAATAACACTGTTTCTGTAAGCTGTAGGATACGTAAAGAGGAATAGTGAAGAGATTGTTCAGAAAGATCAGTTAAAGTCATGGAAGCAATGGGAGAAAATAGTAAAATCCAGGTAATATATATTTGAGTTTATTCTGAAGGGAACTATGAAATCTGAGTTTGTCTGTCTGCCTCTCACTCTCTCTCTCTCTCTCTCTCTCTCTCTCTCTCTCTCTCTGTACCTATTTATCTATCTACCAAATATTATCTAAATATATCTATGAGTCTGGCTATCTGTCTTATCTGCCAAAAGATTTTATTTTTAATCTGTTTAAGTGCATCATCAAAATTGGATTCTAGATTAATCAAAAAACATCATATAAAATAATCAAGGAAGACCATCTGGATAAAACATACAATGTATGAAAATGAAGAATGAGGTAAAAATATATAAAATTTAAAGAAATAATCAAGGAAGAAATAGAGGTCTATAGACTTGTATCATAGACCTATTGATTTAGATATCTGTCTAAATTCACATTGTACAGGTAAGGAACTGATCTCTAGATCACACAGTAAGTTAATTTTAGTATTAAGACCAGAAGCTAAATCTCTTGACTGTCAGTTATATGACTTTTTGTCCAAGCTTTCCCAACTTGACATTGTGACTTTACTATGACTGAGGCAAATTAGAGACAGGACAGAACATTGGGATCTTTTAAACAAGACAACCTGTAGTGCTTCTTCTGAGTTTGACTTGTAATGATTCATAAAGTTGGAGACCCCACAAGGTTAGTGATGCTTGTTTTATAAGGACTTGGGTTGATTTCCATTTTAATGTTGCTATAACTTAGAAGGAATGGGGTTCATATATAAGAAAGTGTCATTTGATTTGCTAATCAAGGGAAATGACTTAATGGACCCAGCTTCAGGTGGAAATGTTTTGTGACTCTGACAGTGCAGCAGACCCTTCCTGTTCATCACCCCTCTACAATGGAATTGGAGCAGCATTGTCACCTCTGGTAACCTATGGTCAGCAGTAAGCAGTCACCATTATTTGGCCTAGTGGTTCTCACTCTGGCTACACATAGTATTAATAGGGTTATGTTAACAAATATCCATGCCCAAGTCCCACCTTATCATCTTTTTTTTTAAAGATTTATTAATTTATGCATACAGAACTGGGGTACAGGCCAGAGGTACAGGAGAGGTGAGAGGATCACCAGAGACAGAGTGGGGAGCAGAACAGGCAGATCAACGAAGTACACTGCTGAGGGGAGGAGTGGGTGAGGCAAGAGAGTTCTGTTGTGCCATGTGGGTCACTCCCTTTGCTGAGGATTGAACTCGTGGTGCGGTGGCAGCAGCTAGCCTCTTAGTGATGGGCTGTAACCCGCTGTGCCACCAGGGAGGGCCCCCATCATCATTTAAACTATAGTGAAAGGGGTTGAGTCCCAACTACCATATGTTTTTAATGTTCTCAGTGTGTATTCAAGGCTGAAAACTACTAGTATTTGGGCCTATCCGATGGACCTGATAATCAGATGAAATCAGATGGACCTGAATCTATTGCCAATTACCGTAAGGTTGTTTATCTCTGAGTCACTTATATATAAAATAGTGATAATACTTTCTACCCTTCACGGTTATAACCAGTGCTTAATGTGAATATATACATAAAGTAATAATAATCACCATGTCTAGAACAGAGTAGATATTCAGTAAAATGTAGCTAATTTTTACCAGTTATTTTGTTACATTGTTGTTGTTATTATCACTTATATTTTTATATTACTGATAGTAACAACAAAACAGCAGATACTAAGAATAGTAGATGCAGGAGACATGGATTGTATTCCTTATTTTACTACTTATATAACTATGTGCTTGTGTCAGTTAGTTCACCTTCTGATCCTCATTTTCCTTGTCAGTAAAACGGAAAAGATAAGACCCATCTATTCTCCCCTCCCAAGCTTATTGTGAACATCAAGTAGTTATCTGGGAGAGTGCTTTGTATGGTATGGTGTATTCAAAAAATCAGATTATTATTATAATTTTGGTCATTTTCTTTTCAACTGCAATTCTGTGAACCCAGTCTGGTGCTAGGAGAATGGCATGTCCAGAAATGTAAGATACAGTCTGAATAGAGAGGCAGAATTTAGATGTATGTGCATGAATAGTACTTAGATTATTCCTCCATTAGAACACCGATCACACTGTTTTGTCATTAACTGTTATCATACTAGCCTTCCTCATCAAAATGGCTAGCTGACAGAATTAGAAAAACACCCCACACCAATTATATATTTCATGAGCATTTGAATGGATGGAAATTACTTATGCCAGCTGGAGTGTTCATAGGGGTTAAATTTGAGGCAAATGTTGAGGGTTGGTTACAATACAGGTAAGAAAATATGACTAGGGGCATATTTCAGGCAAGAAACAGGGCAGAGTCTTATACTTGTTTAATCCTGCTGTATACTAGGTACTCCCTGCAAGCCATTTAAATCAGTCCTTACAATCCCCTGTGAGAAAGGTTTATTATACCCATTTTCTAAATGACAAAATTGATGGTCAATAAGCAAAATAGCTGCTTAGGGCCCCACAACTTGGGGAAGAACAAGGCCCCAAAGTCAGATGTGTACAACTGTTTACTCTTTACATTCTCCATTATACTGTACTACACAGTATAATTGAGCTAAGTGCCAAGGGCTTGCTTTGATAGGACAATGTGGAGACCAATTTACGTAGAAAAGAGCTGGTAGTGAAAGTTCAGGATTAGTGCCTGGATGATAATTTGGGGCCAAGTCCATAGGGGGCCTTGAATTTATGTTAAGGCATTTTAACTTTATCATGTGCCTTTTTATAACCACTGGGAAGATCTATAAAGAGAAGATAATTTAAAGAGTATAAAAATACTTGAGATAAATTTTACAATAGTATCATATTGATTGAATTTAATATTTTTACAATTAAACTTTTTATATTAGATTTTTTATAAGATAAAATGTGAATATCAAGATTACTAAAAATATTTGGGTGAATATCAAGATCTGCTAACAACATTGCGGAACTGCTCATGTGTCTTTCCATGTGCTCTTTCTCAGTCTGGGAACACATTTTATGGATTTTTTTCACTCAATATTATTTTATATGTATTTATTTCCTATCTGGTGTAAATCCTTGTCAGTTGCCACTTATATATATTGATTAAATGTTTGTGAAAACTGAATCATCTGCTTACCCTTTTTGGTTGAATTCAACATTTTGATATTAAGAAAAATATTTTTATGCCAGTTGTTTTTCTTTTGGGTTAATTCATTTGGGTCTGTTCAGAGTGCATTCATTGGATTAACAAATATAGACAGCTATGCATTTCAGCTACATTGTGCCAGAATGCTTAATGGCTATCTAGATAAAAGCTCAGTTTACAGTGCCACCACCAAGTGTTTCACCATTTTGTTTATTTCACTATAGTCTCACCAGAACCATGTTACAAGAAATTAAACATACTTATATTTTGCAAACTGACTGAGAAAATAAACATGTAAAGGTAGGAAGTCAAGTTAGGAAATGACTACAATATTTAACTGTAAAAGGCCTGAGTTTTTGGTGATGATGAATATAATATATTGGAATTCACCATCAAACATTGACTAAGGATCTATGACAGGCACTACAGGCACTATCTTAGCATATTAGTTCTAATTGGATCCCATCAATATCTCTGTAAGACAATGTATTACTGACCTTTATTATGTAGATTAGACATAGCAAATTGATATGACATATCTAAAGTCACATAATATGAAATTTCAGAGCTGGGGTTCAAACATGCTTTCTGGAAAAAAAGTTTTTTTTTTTAGATTTATTTATTTGTTCATACAGAACTGGGGTACAGGCCAGAGGCTCAGGGGCAGCGAGAGGCTTCACCAGAGACAGAGTGCGGAGCAGAACAGGCAGATCTATGAAGTACACTGCTGAGGGGAGCAGTGGGTCTGCCACGCCATGTGGTCACCTGTAGGGCAGGCAGGAATTGAACTCATGCGGAAGTGGCTTTAGCTTCTCAGTGTTGTGCTTTAACCCGCTGCGCCACCAGGGAGGGCCTGGAAAAATTTTTAAAGTATCCAGAGCTTGGGTTCTCTGGCGGTTCAACAGGTTAAAGCACCACATTGTGAAGCTCTCCAAAGTCACAGCAGCACAAGTTTGATCTCCAGCCAGGGATCTGACCCACATGGCGCGGCAGACCTCTCCTGACCTGCCCGCTGCTCCCTTAGCAGTGTACTTTGTCAGACTGCCTGTTCTGCTCCCCACTGTCTCTGGTGAAGCTTCTCACCCACCACAACTCTGGCCTCTACCCCAGTTCTGTAAGCATAAATAAATAAATCTTTTTTTAAAAATGTATCCAGAGCTCTTAGCTCTTAGTGATCAAAAATATATGGAGACCAAGAAGGTAATCCATGTGACTTAGATATTGGATGAATGGTCATGATTACTGTCATTTGGCTAACTGCCCAAGTTTATGGTGCCGTTCTCTTTTCCAGGAGATTCTGACAGTTTCAGCAAATTGCGACCTCCAGGAGAAAAACCAACAATTAGTCGACCCCCAGTGAGGCCTCCAGATCCTCCTTGCCGGGTAGCAACTCCCCAAAAACCAGAATTGAAACCAGATATTGTGGCAGGCAATACGGGAGATATCCCATCATCTGTGTAAGTATGGTTTTTCCTTAAACCTTGATCTAAAGCCCATCTTAGGCCACCAGGAATGCTTTCAGGATTACCAGTTTGGTTGTGAAGGATATATAGTACACATCTCTAGGCTATATTTTACTTCACTGTCTCTGGGAATGTCACAGATCACCTCCTTGTTTGAATGTTCAACTCAACATTCAAGGCTGAGAGAGTTTCTTAAAATTGATGGGCTTGCGGGGCCCTACCTGGTAGCGCAGCGGGTTAAAGCACTGCACTGAGAAGCTAAAGCCACTTCCACATGAGTTTGATTCCCGCCTGCCCCAGAGGTGACCACATGGCGCGGCAGACCTCTCCTGACCTGCCCGCTGCTCCCCTCAGCAGTGTACTTTGTCGATCTGCCTGTTCTGCTCCCCACTCTGTTTCTGGTGAAGACTCTCACCGCCCCTGAGCTTCTGGCCTGTACCCCAGTTCTGTATGTACAAATGAATAAATCTTTAAAAACACACACACACACACACACACACAAATTGATGAGCTTGAACCTTAGTTCCCTGGTCTCTACATAAAACTACCTTCTCTTTTTATGCTCTCTTGGCGCTTTATGTTTTTCCAATTTCTGTCATTGCTACTGCTTCCTTAAGATAAATTTTGTTGAGGTAACATTAGTCTATACCATTATGTAAGCTCCAGGTGCAGAGAATTGTAATTCTGGATCTATAAACACCATATCATGAATGCCCCCAAAAGTCAGATTTCCAACCACTGCCATAAACCCTTTTTAAAAATAATTTCATTAACAGATTTGTTCATTGTATCTGTGCTTTGAGGCTTTTTAAAAATAAGTGAGGGTATAATTTTTTTTTTTTTGATATTCCAAAATAACGCCAATTCTCAGGAGAGCTTCTTGCATGTTAGCAGCTGAAATGACATCCAACAGATGAAATGTCTAAAGTGGGGCCACTGCCATTCTCAGAAACCGGTCTTGTTTGACTGCAATAAATCTAGCTGCAGCCAGGTCCCGGGACCCTTTTCAGTCAACTGTCTTCTAATGTTCTTTTTTCTCGAGTCTCTATTTTTCCATGGTTGCACAATGAGGGAGATAAAATTAAAACCTCCACTGACTCGCTAAGCATATTTTCAAAGGTACCAAAATTTGTCGTTTGAAACAGAAGACTTGTTTAACTAAGAATAAGTATATTTACTAGGACTAGCCTGATTAGTAACACATTTTGACCATTCTGAAATGACAGGGAGCAAAAAGGTATCAACCAGTGCCTTAGGTTGCTTGTGGGCTCTGAACCATTTCACATTCTGATACTTGGATTTCTCCTTAAGTCAATAAGACAGGTCCTGACATGTGTGGCTCACCTGGTTCATGCTCTCCTGTCCTTCCCATTAGCCAATAGTTCTCATAGGTATTCCAGAACAACTCATGGAACTTGGTTGACTTCTCTTTCCAGGGTGGCTTCCAGGACCAGGTTCTTTGAAACAGCCTCCCGGAAAACAGGAAGGTAAGAGACAGAAGTGATAGAAGAGAAACCAAATCACTTATGAATAAATGCAACATGAGCATCTCATTTGCAGACTTAGATTATCTTTTCTGTTTCTCTGTAGCTCTGTCTGTGATCTGGGGTTTGTCCTTCTCTTCACCCATCTCTGCGTCTGCCTCTCTTTGTCACTGTATGTCTCTATCTTTATTTCTGTACCTTTGTGTATTTATATTTGTCATTAATTGATTTTTATTACTTATCTCTCTGTTCTTTGTTGTCTGTCATTCTGGTTTTATTTTATGTAATTTAATTAAATTTATTTTTAATTTTTATTAACTTTTATTAAGGTAACATTGGTTTATGATACCTTGTGTGATTTAGAGATATGTGTTCATACCTCTTGAGATACATTTTACCACACTATACCCACCACCAAAGCACTATGTTGACCTTCCAACATAGTTCACTGAGCTTCCTATCTTCTTGGCACCCCATTTTCCATCACCCCTCGGGTAGCCTCAGTGCTAGGGTTTCTTTTTGCTTTAGTTCTGTAAGCTCCTTTATTTGGTTTTTTATATCCTAATTATGAGTTAAATCATTTAGTATTTATTTTTTCTGTTTCTCAATGATCTATTTAGTATAATCTCCTTCAGACCCATCCATATTGTCACAAATGGCAATATTTCATCTTTTTATAGCTGAGTAGTATTCCACTGCAATTATGTACCACATCTTTATCTATTCATCTGTCTTGGGCACTCAGGGTTTCCATAACTTGGTTATTTCTGTTAGTGCTAAAATGAACAGAGTGCATATATTTCCTCAATTGCTAGATCATAAGGTAGATATACTTTTAATATTTTTGATAAGCCTCATACTATTTTCCATACAGGCCAGATCAGTCTATATCCCCACCAACAATATACAAAGATTTTGTTGCTTACACTTGTTCTTTGTGTGTGTGTGTGTGTATGTGTGTGTTTTTGGCGGGGGTGGGGGGCATTTGCATGGGAATGAGGTGGTATGTCATTGTGGTTTCAATTTGCATTTATCTGAAACAGGTTTGGAACGTAATTAGTGTCCCACTTTGGCTAAAATTTTAAGATGAAAAGAAGGAAGCTTAGAAAAATGTTTTGGGGCCAGATTATAAAGACTTGTATGACATACTAAGGAGTTTGTATCATACAATAGTCCATGTTGAATCATGGAAGGCTTTTAAGCAAGACAATACATATTCTGAGCTGACTGAGGTGCAAAAACATAAATCATTCTGGCTATAATAGGGAAATGGATGAAAACATAAATACAGAACAATAACATTGTAAACATAAATATAAAACAATAGCACTGTTTTGTATTTACAGTAAGGATGTTAATTATTTTGGCAAGCATTAATGAGGCCCTGACCTATGGCATTGACAATGGGAATGGAAGGGAAGGGACAGATTTAAATTAGACTTAATAAGACCTTGGGGGGCTTTCAGTTACAGAGCACTGGAAAAGAATTCAGGGCGACAAGCATTTAGTTTAGACATGTAAGTTAATTGTAATAATAATTGATCATGGAGGAACAGATTTTGTGGAAAGTCGTTTTACTCAATTTTGGACACAGTTCCTCTCTGGGGAACATCCATATAGAGGTGTCCTCTGGGAAACTGCAACTTAGACTAGTGATTGGGGCTGGGCCTATATAAACTTAGGCTTGTACGTGTTCAGTACAGCCACTGTAAAACGCTTTATAGGGTGGGGCACTTACATATACTACAGTGTGAAAGATTGTACTTTGGGGTGGGGTACTCAGTAATTGGTAGTCATAGAAACCATGGGTCAGAACAAAATTGATCAAGGATTAAATGTAAATAGAATCAAGAGAGAAGCATAAAATAATCCTGAAGATGGAGCCATGGACCCTGCTGCTCTTTGGGGTATTCTGATCACACTGTGGGGTGTTGTTATTCTCAGAGATTAACTGTTCCCTCCAGTTGTCCCCAAACTGCTACTTTAGGATGGATCTAAGCACATCAAAAGCCTAGAAGGATGGTTTGGTCTTCAAGGCAAAGGAGAATGCATCTTGCATGTGGCATTGCCCTCCATCCCTGTCTCCCTGTTACATTTAATCATATAATCTAATCTGTAATTTCAAGGCAGTTTCTCTGAGCTCCCTTAGCTTTCCATAATTTGGAAGTATTGTTCTGTGACCTGAAAAATGGCTTCATGTTTGGGAGACTAGGCTCTTTAAATTTGGCAGAGAGCTAACCCAACCAATAAGCATGGAGTTACATACTTTGAAACAACTGGATAGAATCATTTCCTCATTTTTCACACAGTCTCCTTGTCACTGGCATACAGATGTCACCCATGCCTTCTCTTTCCAAATCCAGTTCTGATTTCTAGAGTTTTAGTAAAATATCTTTCCTCCTTTATCCACAGTTCTCAAAGCAGACTTCCTGGAGATGAGAGTTGAGACCACAGGTACGTAACCTCCACCCTTTGTTACAGAACCTAGTTATAAGATCTGAGGTTTGAAGACTGCAATACCATGCTGCCCCAGAGGATAGGAACTCATAAATATGCCTCAGTTCATTACCATATCATTACCTGACCCTTAAACCTTCTGCCCTCCAACTCTGAGGTCCTCTGTGCTTTTTAGTTTCCTTTTTCGTTTTCTTTCCACCCAACCCAAACTACAATATAGCTTTACAGATTGCCTTGGAATCAGGATGTGACATTTTAGATAAGTCCATTTCCTTCTTGAAACTCCATTTCCTAACTTGTAAAATGAAAAGGTTGGAACTTTGTAAATCTGACATCCTTTGTGCCTGTAAGATCAGTAAAATCTCTTGGTATTGTAGCAGGTGGCAAAAATCCTTTATAGTATCTGTAGATGAACACCCTTCCTTCAGATAAATCAATATTTTTTATCTTATTTACTTGAACCTCATCATTAGCCCTTTATATGTATCTGATGCAAAGCACTTGCACATGCATTATGCAGTTTGACTCATATAGAATACCAAAAATATGCAGGATAATTTGCATTTCAACAAGGAAAGGAGCTGAGGTTTAGAGGGATAAATAACTTGGAAAGACCAGAGGAGCTGCTAAGGTTCTCTACATAGGCATTCTTTGACTGTCAGATTTTTGATACAACATCAACAAATATACACGTAAATCTAGTTCCAGGTGTCTGGAGCTTGGTTTTCCATTCACTCTCTTCTTACCCTCCTCTTCTACCTGTTACTACTGCCAATCTTCAGTATCCAAGACCCAAGTCCTTCTCATATTTTGAGATAAAGTTCCAGTGAAGGAAGTTTGGAGTTATTGTAGAATCATCATGGCAATACCCATGCTGGAGACAAGGTTGGGGCATCAGGCTCAGAACTATAGGTCTTTGGCTTTCCCTGTAAACTCTTTGGGGATTGGAGTTGAGACCAAAGACATGGTGTCCCAACATAGGCCATTTTATGGGATCTGAGTTATAAGGGCTTTTCTTAGCCAGCTCAGAAGATCAGCAACCAATTGTAGGTTTAACTACTTACCAAGAAAGGCCCCACTGCTTATTGGCAGTTAAGTGCTTGATGAGTCGTAGATAGTTCCTTACTCTTTTCTTTCCCTTTCAGGTTCTAAAAGCCTTGGCCTCTAGAGACCATTTCCAGGTTCTGGAAGGGTCTTCTTCAAACCCTTGTGTTCTGAGTCATTTTGTGATGAGGAGCAGCTTCTTCCTGGCCCTGTGTCTTCAGGCTCTGGGATGTCATAAAATAAGGGACACATGTCCTAAACACAGGTTTATTTATCCTTCGTATTCTGTATTAATTCCCTCAGAATGTCTATCTTGAGTTGCTGTAAGTCTGTGAATGATTGAACTATCTGAAACCAGACTCTGCAGAAACAAGCTATCCACTGACCTGAGTTGAAGAGAGGAGCTCAGTTTTCAACTCTTCTCCGAACTTCCTGTTTCTTCAAAAGGTCACTGAACTCTGAAAGATTCCGGGCTAAAGACTGATCTCGGGGGTCTTACTCTGAGCAAAAAGCTACTTGAGTTGGAGCCATTGTTTACCTTGGAAGTGGGAAGTAGGAATGTTTGCTGAACATTGGAGAAGCTTAACATGTGTCTTGTTCAGGATACAGACTCTGCTACCAGGTTGGAAGTATGGCACTTCGTAATTGCCAAAAACCTGTCAGCTCCTCTGGGACCATACGGCATGGGTGATGCCCCCACAACGCCATCATGTGGACTCAGGAAGGTGGCCTTCCTGCCCTTGCATACAGCTGCATATGACAAATCTGCAAAGCACGTTTTGCATGTTAAAGCATAGGCTTGTTTGAATTAGTTTTCATCCTGTTTTCTTCTGACAGCTTCCTTTCTAAGCAATCAAGAAAGAAAGAAAGAAAGAAAGAAACTGAAAGCTCTTTTTAAAAGACAGACTTTGTCCTGCAAGAGTTCCTTTAGGGTTAAATATTAAGAAAAATTAAGATGGATTGAGGTCGGCACCTGTCACTGTTGCTTTGTATTTTCCTTCTACAGATAAGCTCTTTTATCTCCCAAAAGACACATTTCTTATCCCAGTGCCCATGGATTCAGGAACTTCATTAAGCTTCTGGAATGGTATGCAGCATTCTACAACAATGTGTCTTTTCTGGAGAGATGGTCCATAACATCCTACTGAATATCAAATGAGCCTGTGACCCAATAAAGCTTAGGAATTATGGCCTTCTAGATAAAAAAGACTTTCACAAACCAAAGTACTTGATTGGAAGAAACATTCAAAATCATTTATTCTAACACTTAGTTTATTATTGGGTGAACTAGGGCAGGACAAGTTATGGTCATACCGGAACAATATCCCTGATCCTTGGGCTACATTTCAAGGTTCTTTTCATTTAACTGCACTTATCTAGCAAGGGGCCATTCTAGCAAGGGTCAGCATTCTGAAAGTTTAACATTTGCCTTTCATGAGATTCACATATTTTGTCTGGAAAACTTCTAGACATAAGCTCCTGATCTTACTCATTGGACATCTCAATCATTAGAAAGGAACCAAAACACAATTGATATTGTGAATCAGAAATCTGAGGAGAAGGCATTTCTGATTTCTGTTTGTATTGATAGAAGGTAAACTACTGGAGAAAGTGTTATTGCTTTAGTTCCTGTGCAGATACACAGACCATAGACTTTTTAGAGTCTATGTGACTAGAACATCACCCAGTGTGAAACAAAGGGCTTGCCTACTGGGACCCTTCTAGCCAATCCCTGCTAGTTTACTGACTGTATATAAACTGAGAGAGAAGCATAAACATAGGGAGAGAGGAATGAAAAGGGACAGGGAGATTTAGAAAAATGGAAAACAGAATATGAGAATGCACTCATAAACAAACCAACTCAGATGCCTTTGAAACACTGTAACCAAAAGACAATATCTACTTTCAAGACTAAACTCTGAACAGGGGTATTGATGAGTTAGGAACACATAGGAACATTGTGGAAGTAAATGAATGGAAGTATTGCGATTCCCAATGGAGAAATGCCCAAGTTGAACATTGAACTCTCAACTCTACCCTGTCCCAAAGGCTAAGTTGATAAAAAACTAAGAACAAGAGAGCCAATTAGATATTATTCTATCTGCTGCTCAATGCCAAAGGGAGTCTCTGTGAGCCTTGGTCTCAGTACTGTGGCCTTGGTTAATCCCATTAGATGATGAAAGAGGCAGGCATGTAGATTTTGACCATAAAACCAGAGGTCAATGGGGCCTTGGCACCTTTCTAGATGCTAGAGACATGGTTTCACTCTGCTTCTCTTTGGACAAAATATCACAGTTATCAGCACAAATATTGAAAGATTATCAAGAAACAGAGAAAAGCACTGTAATCTCAGTTGAGTAGGTATCCTAGAAAAATGGCCATGAGATTGCTATCTGCCCTAGGACATAGATGAAAACCTGGCCTAGAGAGTAGGAATCAGTATCTGGCTGGAGGCTGGGGAACAGTGAAAGCCCAGCCTTATCTTGCTCAGGGCTATCCCCAAAGAATGCCAAATAATGACTGAGTGCCTCCCATTTTGTGGTCTGATTTAAAGTGTGGTGAGACACACTGATGGAATGACACTGGCTTGGCCCATGTATGCTGGATGGAGAGTGACTCAGAAAAGGCTGTGGAAAGGAGGTGATGATGGAAGAGTAGCAACTAAGTACATATGCATTTAGTCCTTACAGCATTCACACATGTAGATGCTATTTGCATTTTATAGATGTAGGATCTGTGACCTGGGGACTACTGGAACTGACTCAAGTTCTTACAGAAAGTAACGGAACTGTGATTTGAATCAGGCCTCTCTGACTACAAGCCATGTAATTTTCCCTTGACCACACAGAGACCTTATTACTGGAGCTGACATGACTCTTTTGCTTCTTGCCTGCCTAACAAAATTTTAAAAAGAATCATCTGAGGGAATGGAGAAGATTCAGATTCAGTTTACAGAAAAACTAAACTATGGTGGAAGAAATTTCTGACTTGGGCTTTCTCCTCACCTTCAGTGTACTCATTTGGGAATATATTTTTGAAGGATCATTTAATTTTGCATTGTGAAATGAAGAATTTATTTTTTAGTTGGCAGCTATTAAGTCCTTGACTTAATAATTTTTCAAAGAGATAAGGCTCTTGTGTGTCTCCGAATACTTCACCAAGTTTGTAATATATACAGCTTCAGCCTGAGAGACATCCTCACATGCAATTTAAGAAGTAGAAAAGGTCTTGGTTCCTCTGTGCTACTGGGTCCCTTGGGTCAAATCCCTCAAAGTTTTTCTGTGTTGATAGCAAAAGTCAAGAGATTTAAAATAGAAAATATTATTGAAGTTTTTATTTAAAAAACACAGGACACTTTTTTTTTTCCAGGTACCATTGGGCAAAACTCAACATCCAATTTCAGTAATAAAATAGTATCATGTAGAGTACTTCTAAAATAATTGGCTATCATGGGAAAGCATCCTTTCCTTTTCAAGTATCAAGAAGCTCCTTGATCCTGTAATAACTAGAACAAATAAAGTAGTAGAGGAAAAGGCATTTCTGTGACTAGAGAAAATTGCTTTTGAGAGAATGTAGACCAATGATACTATTTTTAAAGCAGCTGCAACAAATGACCTTGACACACTACAAGCCCAGATAAAGCTTCAGAAACATTTACAAAATTTCAGAGAGAAGCAAGATCTCTCAAGGAGATGTTTTTGATAAAGAAATGCCTTCATTTTCATAGAGAAAAGACCACTTGATACCAAGGTCATTGATAGAGTCTACAAAGACTGCCTATGTGAAATAGGTGTGCAGCGTTGGAAAAAAGAATGAGATGCTGTTGCTCATTCATGTGATTTTTAATAAAGTTTTCAGACTGTCTAGTATGTGTAGCCTTCATCTGCAGTTTTGAAATAGAAACAATCTTAGCATTTTAAGCATGATGGCACAGCCACTGGATACCTCTCATGTCTCCTGCAACTCTAAGGAAATTTGGTCATGTGATCCTTTTGGACCTAGGAACATCAATCTGTAGACTGCTTTGTACCAATCTCTTATAATTCCCTTAGGCCTCATAGCATCATTGTAAAAGAGAGCCCCATTTTAGAGATACAGAAACTTGTAGCTTAAGGAGATGAAAATTGATATGCCCAAGATCACACATTAGGGATTAAAAGAAATCCAGGCCCAGAAGCTGTTTCTCAGATTATCTTAACTTCAGTAGCAAAGAAAAGGAACCCTAACAGTAAATGGGCATGTTTAGAAATAAGATTGATGGAAATAACAACTATAAGTCTTGATACTCCAAATACGGGCCATTATCAGTCCCTGTCTCAACATTATCTTAACATATTATACATGCTGACACTGAGTCCATACTCAGACATTTGGAATCATAGCTGTATTTTAGTAAGATCTCCAGGAGATTTCTATTCAGTGACAAAAGGATTTTGAGGAAAGAGACAGGTTGAGGAAAGAGACATCTTGGTGTGGCGAAGACCAGAATAATGGTGGGTAAGTCCAATCTGGAATACTAAGAATGTTTACAAACACTATGTCCATAGTTGCCAAGCTCTTACACTACTTTATGTGAGGCCCCTGAATTTGATGGCAAATAAATGAAGTTTCTGTACTTCAAAGAATGGTGAAAACAGCCTAGGGAATAAGAAGACTAAGAATTACTTGACTTTCAAATCTCTGAACATCAAAGGAAGTACAAAGGCAACATGACACAATGCAGAGAGCTCCTTGATGGTGCCCTGGGCGGGGGGGAGTAGGCTATAGGTTCACGCTAACACTGCCTCTTTGCAGTGTTGAGCAAGACCCTCCTCTTCCCTAGGCCTCAGTCATACTGTCTATATTTAAACTAGGTCATCTCAAATGGCCTTTTCATCTCTGACATTCTGTTATCCCAGGCTCTGGGTTTTTACTACAGCCTCCATTATAATGAAACACAGACAATTCTACTGGGTTTTCTTTTGACAAAATTTAGCATCTTCAATTCACATAATAAGATTTCTAATAGGAGGAAATTTCACTCATGAGACACATTAATGGGAACTGCAAAGACCTGACAGGAGCATGGCTAGTTAGCCAGCTTGAAATTGGCCAGTTTTTAATTAAAGCTTAACAAGGAATCCAGACTACTTTGAGAATCAACTGCTTCAAACCACACATAGGAATCAACTCCTATATCCTGAATAGGGTTTACTTTGCACGACTTAATGACATAAACTCTTCTGACTTGGACTTCTGTAGGATGGTTGGTTGGGGGTAGGTAGGGCTTACGCACAGGAGAAAACTGCTGCTCATTCCCCATTGGCCTCACATCTTTCCAGTGATTCTGATACCCATTAGCTGAACGCAATTATCTATAATCTAACATCTTAAAGCAGAGATGCAGACCCAGATAAGAGAAGAACCTTGTTGAAGGCCACACATGAAAGCCATGATAGAAAACAGGTACTCATAGCAGCACCCTAGGGGTCTTTCAAATCCACTTTCTTTGGGTGACTTGTTTTCCAGAATCAAGCTACCTGTTTCCAGCAGAAAGGCACACTGCGGAAGACTGTGACTAGAGGAAATTGCTTTTGAGAGAATGTAGACCAATGATACTATTTTTAAAGCAGCTGCAACAAATGCCCTTGACACACTACAAGCCCAGATAAAGCTTCAGAAACATTTACAAAATTTCAGAGAGAAGCAAGATCTCTCAAGGAGATGTTTTGATAAATGCCTCCATTTTCATAGAGAAAAGACCACTTGATACCAAGGCCATTAATAGAGGCTACAAAGACTGCCTATGTGAAATAGGTGTGCAGTGTCAGAAAGAAGAATGAGATCATGGGCCTTCCAGCTTAGTACTTTACTTCCATCACATGTTCACACTCTTGTCTCAGTTGAGTTTTGCAGAACCATATAATCTGGGCAGAGTAGTAACGACTACCCTCAATTTATTGAGGTTTACAGAGATGTCATACTTGACTAAGGACACACAGGTAGAGAATTCGACCTACATTTGCTAATTTCAGTTAGAAATTACGTACACAGCTTATGTAAGTAGCTGGGAAGTAGCAGGAGTTCTGAACACTTAATTTGTTCAATCCATTTGCTTCAAAGCAGGTTTATTTTATCCCTGTTTGGGAGAATAGCCTAACAGTTTGATGACCTGAAACTCTGCAGAGCACTCGTGTTCCTTCTCATTTGTCCTCTTAAAAGCCCTATAAGGTAAGTAAGACAAGACATTTTGCCCCCATTTAACAGATGTGCATATTGAGTTCCAAGAACATTGTATCCATTTTCTATTACTGCTGTAGCAAATGATTACAAATTTCTCCTAAAACAACATCCATTTGTTATGTCAGAAGTTTGGCATAATGTGATTGGATTTGCTTAGTATCTACTGAACTAAAATCAGGATATCAGCAGGGATGTGGTTCTCATCAGGGGCTCTGGATCCTCTTCCAAGATTGCTAGCTACTCAAATAATTCAGTTCCTTGTTGTAGAAATGAAGCTCCCATTTTCTTGACATGTGGCTCCCTTCACCTTCAAGGTATTATCTAAACCTCAAATCCTTTTGCTTCCCCTTCTGCATCTCTCTGACTTCCTCTTCTGCCTCTTCTATTAAGCAGTTCCCCCTTTCAATGGGATGATTTCATTAGGCCCAACCAGATAATCTAGGATAGTCTCTTCTAAAGTCAGCAATAACCTCAATGTGTTTCTTGCCATATAATCACAGTTGTGGAGATTAGGAGATGGGGTCTTCTTGAGGGGTCATAATGTTGCTTGAGAGTCATAATGCAGCTTCCTACAGAAACCCTGTCTTTCTACATAAATACATACTTTTGCCAACACATTAATCCAGTGCAAGAATAAAATGACCATTTACATGCTGCCTACATGGGTAGTTAGAAACCCTGTTTAGCTTTTCCCACCTCTCAAGTACACCAGAGATAATTGGGTAGCACGTCAAAGAAAGTGGTAGTTGGCATATGAGAGGGGCTTTCTGAAGTTAGTGGTATTTTTAGATGGCACCTTGATGCTGATAACCAGACCCGTGACTGCTTTCATTCTATCTGGGTTCTAGAGGAAAGACATCAGTAGTTTACCTAAAGGCCCAGGATGAGACATATTCCCTGTATCACTTATGACAAATGTGGCTTTTAAGTATTCGGTATGGGTTAACTGAATGTATCTGATAATAGTCCTATGACGTAAATGCTGACATTAGTCCCATTTTATAGGCATAAAACCAGAAACATAGAATGATTACAGCATTTGCCTGGGTTTACCACACTCAAGAAATGGTAAATTCAGACCATTCCCTTAAAGAATCCTCTGTAACTTTCTTTCATAAAGCAGGGGAAATTCTAGAGGGGAGGTTGAGGTTAAATTCATTTCAAAGTTCTTGACACCTTTGCTCCTCTAAGATTGCTCTCAGGTTCCTTGCATTCTGGTAACCCAAGACATCACAGCTGAGCTTGCTGAACAATTCTGTTATGTTTAGAAACCTGCTGCATTTTATGGGATTGGTGGAGGGCATTAAAGGTACCCAACTTTTTCTCAGAGGCTGGAAAAAGGGGAGTCTGCCAATTTAGGTGGGTGGGGTTAAGATGGGTCAACCCCAGGAATGTTCTCTCCAGAGTATATTTCCATGTGGGAATTTCCTCATGATCTTATTTGGTGTGCATTTAATTTGTATTACTGCCTCTGAAGCTCTGTGAAGTCAATTTCCTGGAGATCTAGGCCCTCTAAATACTCATAGAAGATGTCTGCAAGAGTTGCCTTTTCTTGGTCTTGGATAGCAGAGCTGAACAAATGTCTTTATGCCTCTCCTTTTTCCACTCCTTGGAACTTAGTTTTCGTAGTATTGTCATTGTTAGATTTTTCCATCTGATTCTGCTTCTCGAGCTGCTTCTATCTAGGTACCAAGATGCTTGCAGGGGCCATCTTACTGTAGTTCTAAGAGCCATTAGGATATGAGGTAGGTGTGTATGGATAACATGAGTCCTAACTTTTGTTCACTTCTCTGTCATTCTATTACTCTACTGCAGGACTCAGAATTGTGTCTCGTTTCTGGGGCTGAGATCTCTCTAAGACTCAATAGAGATAGTTCCTCTGTGGCTCTCTGGGTAGTTTTTGCTAACCACTGCTTATCAGATCCAGGTCTCTACCTCCAGGGAAAGAAAACAAACACCATAATCACTATTCATGCCTTTGTCACCAAGGGCAAGTTACATTGCCCAAATAAGCTCTCATTTGGCCAACAGTGGTACTAGCAGTAGTGGCTGCCTGAGTTGATACCTAGGAATGGGATCTTTTATACATCCATTGAGGAGCTGATCGATTGTGCTTTTTGCCCTTTAGGAGATCTTTTCGAATGTTATCTTCTACCTGATTCGTGGATTCTTCAATGCAGTAACCTGTTAAGCCAGAAACTGACATGTGCCCTGGCCATTCACTCTCCAAACTGACCCCCACCACCTGATCAAATCTGTTCCTATAATGAGTTATCCGAATACATTTTCCTCTTTATTGACACAATATTGGCAGGAGTTTCAGTCAACAATTCAGGCCCAACTACTCTATCCTTTGCAATTGCCAACAATCAGATCTGGGGCATTCCTATGAAAAGCAATTGTGGAAAAAGGCCTATGACAACGGAGCTACTGGCATATAGCTTGGATACTTTCACCCTCCAGAGTACCCCTTATACTGTTTTGGGGAAAGAACAACTATTTTTCCCGCACACCATTACTGTCTGCCTCCTACATTTTGCACTCAGTTGTCATTAAAATTGTGCTTTTTGTGTTTTTTCAGAGATGTTCAGTGAGGCGGTGGGTCAGTTATCTGCTTCTGGCTTATTTC